AGAGAGAGAGAGAGAGAGAGAGAGAGAGAGATAGAGAGAGAGAGAGAGAAAGGGAGATACAGATTATGGGGGAGAAAGAAACAGGCTGTTAATTGTGACGAAACAAAATCGAGTCTAGGTTGAAAAAGGGGGAGGGGAGGTAGATAGAGAGGGGGAGAGAGAGGGGGGGTGGAGGAGGGGAAGGGCTAGGGGCAGACTAGACGGTTTGATAGAATTTCTCAAAAGAGGTCTCTCGTGGTCTTGGGGTAGAGTGTGCGACTCTCATTCAATAGTTATGGGTTCGAAACCTGACACTGATGGAAAATGTTCTTCTCTCAAATTTTCTTCTTTCCCCTCCTGTCCTGCATAGCTCTCTAACGATGTTCTGTCGTCTGCTTTCACCTCCACGTTCTGCCCCAACCGCTCCCTTCCTCTCCTGCCTACTTTTCCCCTTCCTCTGGGTTTCTGATTCTTTCTGCACTCAACAGCCTTTCTAGGCCTACAGCTACTTTATTTTACCATCTATGAAACTTAAAACAATGGGTGAAAGGGCATCTGAATATACCAAGGCCCCAAGATCTGGAATGCTATACCAAGTACTTTAAAAGAGATCAAATCTTTTGATTCTTTCAAATGTCAGCTGAAGTCGTTTCTGTTTTTAAATTAATAGGATGAATATTTGGAATAATTTTCTTTAGTCAGAACACAACGTTTTATGTTACTGTGGTACATTGTATTGTATTGTAAAGTGCTCAGAGTCTGTGTACTGTATAAATGTCATTTATTTTTACTATTGCTTCGTGGCACTTTCCTACTGCTGTCTTTCAGCCACACCCCAGATCTTAGGGCAGTTTAGATTTAACACCAAGCCTTCTCGGATAAGGGTAAAAAAAAATCTCGGAGGTCCCGTGTTCAAACTGTGCACGTGAAAGATCCTTTGGTGGTCCTAAAAATCGAGAAGAGTAGGAGGCTTCGGCCACCACCTGGGCAAAACACAAAATCAACTTCTAACCAGACTACAATTAATGCTTGCAGCGTCTCAGACGCTCATATCACCGTATGCATTTTGCGAGCGCCGTAAAACACTAACCCAGGAAAAAAAGAAAAAAAAGCCCCAAAAATCAACAACTGGAAAAGTACAAACCTCCAGACCCCCCCTCCCCCATAAAAAATAAAAACAAAAAACAAAAAAACAAACAAATGAAATAAAAATAAATAAATGAATAAAATAA